TATAATGCAAGTTAATTAGGCAGTTGATTAGGAACAAATTAAAACTGAATATTACTGTTCTGGTATCGTGAGTATGTAATTAAATCTGAGATAATTATCACTAATTATTACTAATTATATTCATGAGATTTTAATTACTGCAAAGGCCAAACTCGCATTTCCGTACAGTTACTTTTGCATCCAAAACAGATTTCTAAAAAATATCCTCAAGTAGACAAACTGTATCCTTATATATATATTTTTACCACATTTATCATTATGATTATCCATATATAAATATTGGTTTATAATTAGAAACTAAATTTTGGAAGTGTTAATTTCAATCCAATGGCATATTGATGGAATCTTTATGAACAGCAAATTGGCAAAGCAAATCCAATCGGTATTTCTGCTAGGCCTGAACACCTTATCCGCAATCACTCTTGAACAGTCTTTTGATTGAACAATTCCAGACGGGGTCATTTCAGCACTGTTTCGTAATTAATTTTAGCACCCTCAACGAAGATAATCCTGCAAAACTCATTGAAGCAGATCTGGAACACTGTCCAGTTTAATGTAGTTCATTTTAGCTCTTTTTTTTTAATATAAAAAACATTTAAATATCTGGTTATTTAGAATAAAAATATTCTGTAAAATATATTGTTTGTATTACAAACAATACAAATGCCATGATTGAAAACCTTGCTTTGTATAAGATATTATACTGTATAATTGAGAATTAGAACAGCAACATCTTTGTTATTGCTTTTAGTTAAAATATTTATAAATATGCTAAAAACTAATTTTGATTTGGTACTATATGTTTCTTATTAGAATTTAAGAACTTTTTTGATAGTATCAACAAAATTCATGTACTATAATTGTATAATATTTCTTCGAAAATGTTTCCCTTCTCCATAAAAGAAAACATTTTTTTTAATTCATTTAAATATGCAATTAAATATTTTTATTTAATTTTTAAGGGTTATTTTATGTTTATTGTACTTCAAACAAATAATATCCTATAGTGCAAGATTTCTGATTATTATAATTCAAAGACCTGCTGTACCTGTCCTCCTGAAAATGTATTCTGTACTTTGTCAAAAAGAGTTAAATAGATATTTTATGGGATAAAAATATCAAAATTTTCTGAGTTCAAAATATTTGTAGGTCTATTCTAGAATAGAATTATAATACTGGCAAATAAGTTGAAAAGAGTTCATTGGTGGTGTAGCCTGGTGATTTAAAGAAATTGGCGTTACACTACTTTTGAACTTTGATGTATTTAAAGTTGAGCCTGTTGTAATCTTTTATCTAACAGGGCTAATTTTGAATTGTTGTTAGTGTCCACTGTGACAGTAATCCTGAAGTCAATAGATGAATTAATTATTCATCCATTCAACTGGTATCTTAATACTTCAATGTTGTGGAACCATCTTTACCAAAACAAAATGCGTCAGTCTCTTAAGCACCATTAAAAAGAAACATAGGAACACAATAGAACTAACAAGGTAAAAATCTATATACAGTATACATGTAAACATGGATCTTATAGGCCCATGGATCAATAATGTCAATAAATAAATAATGTAGATAAATGTATCATTCTCTTTGTATGTGTTGGTGGAACGTGCAATGTCACAAGGATTGAAACAATTACAAACTTGCGAAAATCTTTAAATTGATTAACAGTCAATTTAAGTGTCTAACTCAAATGATATAGAAACAGTATTATTTATGTGTCTGTTGTTGGCAAAGATATTATTATTGTTATTTATATTATTATTATTATTATCATTAAAAACTTTCTTATTTCAATTATGTAAAGCTAATATTTTACTTACATTAACAAATTACATGTTTACTTATTTAACATTTCAGAGCTTAAATTTTTAAAACAATGGAGATTTGGAATGCAATTTAAGCAGTCTTTAAGCTGTCAAGCTCCCGCCATTACTTACTTTTCAGGTCAGAGAAAAATTTCAATGTCAAGTTATTATTTTTCTTAAATTTAGCAGAATTGGATAATATGACCTCCCGACGTGCCAGGACAATGGAACTAGGTTGAACAGTGAGTAAAATGCAAATTCGTTTTATGCAATTATTGAGCTGCGTAAAAACTCTTTTGCAATTATTGAGCTGCGTAAAAACTCTTTTGAAAAATGAATGGGTTTTACTACGAGTTGCTGTGAATAGAGAATATGGTTGATTTTATTGTTAAGTATTATTTTTTTTATGGCTAATGGCCCTAGCAGTATTTATAAAACATTGTAATGTATTAATATTAAATGGCAGCAATTAATTTAAATAAATTCAGATGTAACAAGTTTTGACGTTAACATATAATTCCAACATACATGTTTGTGTACTTAGCCTTATTTTTAAAATGACAGCAATTATTTTAGTAAAGATTTGTATATTAAACAAATTTTGATGTCTCAGGAGCATATGTCTGAATATTCAGCATTCATTTTTTATTTAATATAATTTTTTTTTAAATTAAGAGTAGATTATTTAAATATATTTATAACTAGTTTTGGCAGCTTCGTAGAATTCCTGAAACAAAATAAATATTTGCTTATTGTTTGTTTATTTTTTTATTGACAAATTATTGCACTTTTTTATGGTAGTAATTAGAAGACAAAAAAGGTAGAAGTGTAATTACCATATTCAAATTTTAGTTAAGTATAGGCCTACTAAATTTTAATGTGCATAATTTAAAGTAGGCAATATGGCAGGAGGGTATATAGCATATATTTAACCAGAAGCAAATATGTTTGCTGCAGTTTAAAATGCAGAAACTTGATGTAGTGTACTGTAAATAACAGATTCTACTTTTATACTAATATACAGTGCAATACCCTCAGACGTGTGATTGTTTGCCATGTCTTCAATTAAAATAGTTATATTGATCAGTTAAGATTCCTTGTTATGTATTGATCGGACACTGCACACCAAACCGCAACCACTGGCTAACCATTTCCCATCTTTTGTGATTACTACATTACTGAGTGATTCTTCTTCAAATGAAATTTTCAACATCAACAAGACAATTACTGGTACAAGCCACAAACCACCATATGCTCCCAACAAAATATATTGTGTTGAGTTATTATAGAGCAATTGTTATTATTACTGGTATCAAGGGTAAATTATTATATCAGTTTCTTTTGTTCTGTTATTAATATCTGTACCAACTTTTATAGCATCAGAAACTAAGGGTGGTCAAAACCTCTTGTAGCTAAGTACCATTAGCACACACAGAGTTTAATTTCTTAAGCTCTGTCTAAATTATCAAGTTTTCTTTGACAAAAAACTTTTGTATGCCCATATATAGTCATGATATGCCTATATATGGTCATGATGTGATGTCATCATGACCATATTTAGGCATGTCACATGTTTGTCAAATAAAATTTGATAGTCTGGACAGGGCTTCATGGCTGCTCATATCTCTTATTTCCATATTAAATGTACTTATAAATAACAGTCTCTCCTCTGGACCGTAGACTGTATGAAGTAAAGTAACAAATATTTTCAAATATTAAATATGTGTTTCGTTTAATTATTTTCTGTGTTTTAATTAATTTCATGTAATTAAGCCAGTTAAACATTAACAATAACAGGTAGTTGTGAAAATTCAATACACCTTTCGTAGTTTCAATAGCGTGACAGTCCAAATTCATTTGAATAATCCACAATATTCCTGACTTTCCTGAATATAGATCCAGCTCTACCTTAAGGTGTTCGGTTTTTATTTTAAAACTCAAATAATAGAACGCTGTGTTTTTTTTTTTCTCTCCAATTTCTGCTACAGTTATTTACTCGGGTCAGGCTTAGGAATGGAGGAGGAGGACTCCTTTGTGGGCTAAATCCCCAGGTACTTGGGCTTTTGAAATACCCTAGCCAAAGAAAACATAGCTGGAAGACAAATACAGTGGTAATTGGCTGTTAAGAAATACCCTTTCACAGCATATCACAACATTACATGGTACAAATTTTTAAGGTATCGCCCATGTATACAGTAAAGTTACATTAAAATATTAGTCTTAAAAAATCCGAATAACCCTCAAATATTAATTTTTAAAATAAATTAGGCCTTATCAATAAAAAATTCAAATAAGTAATTTTCAGCAAGACACTGATTAAATCAATTAAATTTTCAGATATATATATATATTTATATATATACACATATATAGGCCTATATAATTATATTTATATATATTACTACAGTATATATAATATAATTTTATGCTAAGCTAATAATAGCTTTCTTAAATATCCAAACAAAGTGAACAATTTTAATATCAAATTTTAGTTTCAGATTTTCCTAGCTCAACATTCTTAGTAAGTTTTAGCAGCCATCAATTAATGAGAAGTACTGTGGTTTAAATGTTTGTGATGTTGTCATTTACTGCTCTAGATTAAATCTCTTATTTGTTCTCATTCACATCAAATTAGACAAAGCTTTGAAGATATTAGCTTTCCAGCTTGTTATTCAGTATTGCCAACCTGACACTCAGTGCTGGGTTTTAATGTTCATTATTGTTAGTGGTATGTGCATAAGAGTGTTAATTTACACATCAATATTGCGCATTCGAAATGTCAAGCCACTTCATATTGAGATCATACACAAGGCAAAGTAATGAATGAAATAGGACTTCATTTACTTATAAGAGCGGAGCAGCTAATTTAAAAATCTTAAATTGGAATTAAAATGAAAACCAGGCTACATTAAATGCCAAGTCTCAATAGGAATTGGTATTGCATCTCCAACTTTATAACTCCATTAAAGCTGTGTTTCATTAGAGTTGCAGATCAAATGGTGACGAAAGGGTTCCCCAATCCCAGGAGGAACAAAAATAATTAATTTCTAATAATGCCTATGTTGTTTATATTAGACTTCCCACTCGGACAATAATTTCTTGATTGGCACTTTACACTTCAATGTAATGATTGAATCTTCTTCTCACCCCAAACCTCTCCCCTAAGAAAACAAATTTATTATGAATTCTTACCTCTGCATCAGCTTCATGGGTGTTACGTGTGGATGCCAGAGATGGGTTACTACCAGTATTCAAATCAGAGTTGCTGCTAAACGTCATCATCTGCTTGTTGCCAAGCCTTGCATCTGGTGACTGCATCTTCCATTTCATTATGTTCTTGGATTGAGCATAAGGTGCCGGGTTCGTTTCATGTGCTGGCGATACTAGCTGGTTATTTGGATCTTTCTTGCCATCCACAGAGACCTTACCCGCCTGGAAGAGTTCCTCTTCCTTTGGCACTTTGTAGGTGTGTTCCATCTTGTCCTTCCTATGGCATCTTGCTAACAATACGCAGAATATGATGAACAGGATGAAGGCAACACCACCCAGTGCGATAACCACAATGTAAGGCCAGTTAGCCTCATCGTTTGTGCTACGCGACAAATCTCGGTAATACTGAACACTTAGATTGAAACGTCTGTAAAATTCAGACAGCCGAAGAGGCTCACTGAATTCCTTGTTGGCAATCACAATGGTGAGATCTGTCACATTCGATTTCTTTTGTAACGCTTTGTCGGTAACATTTATCTTCAAATCGTAGACACCTTGCCAGTCTTTAATAAGGTCGCGTTTTGTCATAACTGTACCGTTACTTAATATTTTAAATGCGTCATTCTTATTGCCGTCTTTAATTGAATATTCCACTAAACCATTCCGCCCATCATCAATATCAAAAGCAATGACGTTGATAATCCAAAAATCAGACGGTGCGGTTGCAGGAATGAAAAATGTGTCATTGTTTGGTGTTGGGAAAGCAATAAATGGAGCATTGTCATTGATATCTTTGATGATAATTTCTACAATAACTTGATTAGTTTTAGCCGGGATACCAGCATCACTTACAACTACTGTCAACCTGTACATTTTCTTTTCCTCGTGGTCAAATGGTCTTTTGCTATATATTTTTCCGGTTGAACTGTTAATAATAAAATTGTCGCTAGATCCTGACAAAGTGTATCTCAATTCTCCATTCACTCCTACATCTTCGTCCGTTGCAGTGACTCGACCAATCAACGTTTGTGCAGCTTTGTTCTCTTGAATTTCGAAGCTGTACTTTTGCTGAAGAAAATACGGCTGTTTGTCATTCTTATCCAAAATCTCTACTATGACAGACGTTGTATTGCAAAGCTGTGGAGTTCCCTTGTCACAAGCGGAAACATAAAACGATAGAGATGCAGACGATTCTCTGTCTATGGACTGTATGGCAGTGATTTCTCCACTTGACGGATCTATCTGGAAGTAACCGTCGGCTTTTTCAAGTGTATAAATGATCTCCGCATTCAATCCTTCATCATTGTCTGAAGCAATCACGGTGTCGACAAGGTAACCAGGATCATTATGTTCGGGCATTACAAATCTGTTTACTGGACTTGTAAAGTAGGGTGTGAAGTCGTTGACGTCGTTCACAATGATATTTATCTGAAGGACAGTGGTTTTCCTATTGTTCTCATTTCCTTTGTCTTGCGCAATGATGGTCAAGTTATACTCTGGTATCTTCTCTCTGTCTATTCCAGATCCTGCTGTAAAAGCGAACTCTTTGGGAGCAGAGGGGTCTGCAATCAAGTTAAAATGACCATATGTTCCATCAAAGGAGATATCAAATTGGCCATTCTCACCACTATCTGCATCAGAGGCCAAGAGAAGCCCAATAAAGGTCCCCACATTGATTGATTCTAGTATCTGTATGGTGTTGCCTTCCCGATCAATATCGGCTGAATAGCTAACCTCAAGAACAGGAGCATTGTCGTTCACATCTGTAACATCTATGGTAACGGTAGCAAATCCAGAAATGGAATTCTGACCTTTATCCTTCGCTTCTATTATCATTACAAACACGTCGTTTCTCTCGTGGTCTAGATTTTTTATTGTGCGTATCACGCCATCATCTGGGTCAACTTCAAAATGTTCTTTCACAATAGAAGTTACACTGTTGCCAAATGTATATTCAATTTGTGCATTATCGCCTTCATCAGTGTCTTCTGCGTGTAGATTGAGGATTTCGTATCCAACAGGCACATCCTCTGGCACGGATTTCCTGTACTCGGGTTCCGTGAATTGCGGGGAGTTGTCATTAGAATCGACGATTTTCAGAACGACAACTGTTGTTCCTTCTCTTTTTGGAGTTCCGTTGTCACTCGCCCTGAGAACTATATTATACTGATCCCTGGTCTCTCTATCAAGAGCTTGATTGATTTTGAGGTGAACAGTCTTTGCCCCATCGACAGTATCTGTCACAACAACACCGAACATACCATTATATGTACTGTCGAGGCTGTAGGTATCAATGTCGTTCACGCCGACATCTTCATCCACGGCGCTTTCCATTGGAATTTCTGTACCAACTGCTACGGATTCAGAAACATCTATTTGATATTGGTTATAGAAAAATATGGGATTGTTATCATTAGTGTCGTTAAGCCTAATCAACACCCTTTTCACTTGTATGTTGCTGCCGTCTTTGATCAAAATTCTCAAATTGTATTGGCAGTCGTCGTCGAGATATTCACTACATTTGCCAACCTCTCGATCTATTACCTCTGTTGTATACAATTCACCATCATTGTTGACAGCAAATGGAACTGAATCAAGATCTCCTAAAATACTGAAGGCGGCGCCAGAGCCGAGCTGAAGTCCCAAATTTTCTACAAGATTTCCTACAATATACAGGTCGGGCTCTTCCTCATACAGGTCGTAAACTATATCATGTTGAGCTTTCGACGTACAAAGGAAAAGTTTGAATATTATGAAGAAAACAGAACCTGATGTCCAAGAAAACATCGTCATGGTTACAATTTTGGAGAAATCTATTCCGCGACAGCTCTTGCATTAAATAATCTATGGAGAAAAGAAATATCAGTAAATTAATAACAATACTATAGTAGTAATAGTAATTATACAATTAATAATTATGTAAGTTTTATATAAACAGTACCGTAGTGCATTATACCAAACAGGTTGACCATTTGACCCCGATAATGAATACTAATGGTACAAACGTTGTGAACCACTACACATGAAGTGCGCCGACTATGGTAGTTATGCACACTTTTACGAATGAGAATAAAAATTTCATCCATTGAATCACATAGGCCTACCTGTACGCCTCCAATTATCATGACACGACTGTGTCATTAAGCTTATAAAGTAGATAACAAGCCTATCGACAGTAGATAATAAGCCTCATCCCTTAATGGTGATTGTATTTATTTTTAGACAATTTTTTTTCTTTTTGATGTTTATATATATGTTTTTATATATACTGTATATATATATATATATATATATATATATACTGTATGTGTGAATCGATATTTAT